GCAAGACATTCATACTTGCCGGAAGGAAGCTTCCTGTCAAGATCGACCGGCCTCCTTCATGTTGCGCCATCTGCGTTAGATAGGATCATGTCCTCAGACGTCACAGAGCTGCTTGGGCGGCAGTTCATGCTTCCGGCAGACGCTGCAAACGGCCTCCAGAAAAATCTCGTTGGCTTGAGAAGCACCAGTGTTTCTCTTGTCCAGGATAGGGCTTCTGTGCTGTGCGCATGGGCTGGGAACCCTAAATCCTAAACCCTAAACCCTAAATTTGCACACCCTGACGTATTCATCAACACGTCTGCTACCGGCTACAGGCTAGGCTCGTCGGGACCGAGGTTTTCGGGACGAGAGGCTTCTCATTGTTTTGTTATGCTTCCTGTAGTTCAAGTGGTGGCCCCTGAAAGCCCTTAAGTTCCTGGGAAGTTCTTACGGCTTCGGGTTGAGAGCTTCGAACCTCGACCCCTCAATCCTTGAAGAGCCTTCCCAGGCTCGTGGTCCTCTTTGAGGGGATCCACCGGGGCGTCCGACAGGCTCGAGGGGCCTTTAAGCTTTGAGGGGGTTGGGAATTTGGGAGATGTTTGATGGTGGTGGGCCATCATAATAAGCTTCTAAGCCTTAATCTCCTTATCTCCTCTAATGCCCATAAACCCTAGAGCCCTAAGCTCTCGGGCAGGAGGAGAGGAGCAGAACTCCGAACCTTAACCCCGAACCCCCGAATAGTTCTCCACGAGACGGGTTAAACTACCTCGGGTGATCTTCTTCACTTTACTCTTTCGAGAAGGGGGCAGCATGCACCAACTGTAGAGAGTTGCGGTTCTTTCTTTATTTCTTTAGCGCAGCCGCCCTCTTCACCTAAAGGGACCCTGTATGACCCCAGACTTGGAGGTTCCTACCCCATGCCAGTTTGGTCTTAGCCTGATTTGGGATTCTGAGAAACAGGTTAAACCTCGAACCCTAAACCCTAGGCCCTAAGCCCTGAATGAACCTTGGGTCCCCCCCCGCCCCCCGCCCCCCAAGTCGGCGCCAACAGCAGGTCACAGAATGCACGCAGAAGCTGCAGGAGATGCTGTCGTCTGAGGTGGCGGGCCTGCAAGAGTTTAAGGTTTCGGGTTTGAGGTTTGGAGGCTTTTGGAGCCAAGTTTAGGGTGTTTGGGGTGTAGGGACCTAAACCCTATTCGCCCCAAAATTGGTGTTGAGGTCTTTAGAGGAGAACGCCCTGCCTCATATCTCCCCTGCCCAGCCTCAACGTACCCCAAGCTTATTGGGTAATTAGTGATCAGAGTTGGGGGGTCGGTTGAAGGTGAGGGTTCTAAGCACATACACCAAACAAAAGGTTACAAAGCCTGGGTTGCCAGCCAGCCAGCGAAAATACAAAGTCCGTACCTCCTGGCACCCCAAATGATATCCTATGAGCCTCTGGGCGCACATGAGTTTTTCAGGAGTGATCCTTGTAGGGCCTCGGGGTTTAGGGCCTTAGGGCCCAGGGCCCTTAGCACCCTTAGGGCCCTTAGGGTCCTTAGGGTCTTAGGACATTAGGGCACAATGGAGGGTTGTGGTCTTTTGGGGCTTCGCTTTTCCAAGGCCGACTCACCGCTGTCCCCTTCGCGGATCTCGCTGTCGCCGCTGTCACCCTTCAACTCCCGGGCCGTTCGCAAGGCCGCCCCCCGCGACCTGCTGTTTGCTTAAGAACTCCTTCAAAAAGTGCCCATGTTCTTCCTTATAAGGGCCATATATTAGGGATCAATAGTCATTAGCAAATAGTAGGTTTAACCGGGCTTAGGGCAAATTATGCGCTGTAGGGTTTCGAGAACTCACATGGGCTTCGGGTGTGAGGAGGTAATCATGAGGTAAGAGGGTTATATAGGTTCCCTCCCCCGTCGCCCGCCCCCTCAGCCAGTTGCAACCCGAGAGTGTGGCGCCACCTATCACCTCAAATTCATCTACCCAAGAAGCTCCAAGTAGGCGAACCTTCCCTGAACTCTGAATTCTAGACTGGCTCGGCCGTGAGAATTCGCTTGGTCCGTCAGGCTTCGCACGATTCAACAGGCCTGGCTATCCATGTTCCTTTCAAGTAGGTTTGGGTTTGGGATTAAATGTGAGGGTTTGCGTATGTTTAGGGTTCATAGGCTCCAGTTGTTTTGGGTCATGGTGTTCAAGGGGCTGCTTCCTTCGTCGCTTCCTTCAGATGGCCTCCCTTAAACCTTCAACAAACCCTAAGCCCTCTAAATGATCCCTACAAACCCTAAACTAAGTAACACATTGGGTTACTTGTAGGGTCGGGCCCGAGTTTGCGCCTTTGCCTTCTCTCCTGTCAGACGGCTAGATGGTGCTCTTAGAGCATTGGAGGTTCAGGTTGCCTGCCTCCGCAGGACCGTTGGTTGTTGGCCTACAACGCGGTTTGTGTCTGTGTTCCTTCAGCCCAAAGCTCTGAAAGCACCGAAATCCCGAAGGAGACCTGGGGAAACGAAGTGCATCTCGGCAGCGTTATCCAGCTTGAAGGACGGCCAGGTTAGGGTCCCTTGCCTCCGCCTTGAAATATTCGGGCTTGGGTGCTTTTTGGCGAACTGGCTCGCAGCGTCTGAATCCTGAAGCCAACTCCCCAACGATGTGAATGCAGGGTTATGCCGGAGTTAGCGGCCCGGTCGTGACAAGTCAGGCTGGTTCCCAGGTCGGCGCCATCAAGAAGCAGGTGAGCTTCAAGGGGCAAGCATCCGACGGGGCCAGTTCGGAGATCAGACAGGACGGTACTGCAGAAGCGAGAGACATGCCATCGAGCGTCAAGTTCTAGCGCTGTGTGGTATGCAACCACTGTCAGTCGGTGGAATCCGTAGGGCAAGCTAAGTGAGCCCAACAAGACCAAAGCTCCTTGAAGTTCCACCCACTTGTCCTTTCCGACTGCGAGAAGTGGGTTTTCAATAGGGAAGTATGGTGCAATGTTCACTTTCCTATACATCTGCAGTCTGAGAGCGCCAGAAGCTTCAAGCCCCCCTCCAAACACAAACCTTCCCAAACTCAAGAACTCAAAGAAGCCCGTTTTTACCCAGGAGAAGCCCTCTGTCGAGATAGACTCAGGCCGGGACATCTTTCGAGGCTCTGTGATGGCTCATAAGGTTTATCACTTGGCCTTACGACTTTCGGGTGTGTTGGATGGTCAGCTCTCGAAATTGGGGTCACTTTTTCCTGCAAGCATGGCGAAGGGTTTTTTCCTAGACTGCCTAGCTGACTTTTGAATGACATGGGATGACTTCTGAATCCGACCACGCTCGAATCTTCTGCGACTCCATTCCTCGATCGCAGTGTTTAGGACTGGCGGGATTCGGTGCACACGAGCTCGCCAAGCCATGCTCCCTCGACATCTTACTTGCAGTCTCGGCTTTAGACTCCTACGAATCCTCACAGGGGCAGGACACGGAACGCATTGTCCAAAGAAGGGCCAATGGATTGTGGTGGTTCTGGTGATACTTAAACGAGACTGTTCCATCGGCAGGCAGCAGATCAAGGCTAGCCAGGTTCAGGATTCAGGGGCTCCGACTGGATGATTTTAACGGTCTGTTGCCCAGCCTCTAGGGGTTTTATGCCGGCCTTCTTTATCCCTTTGCCGTTTTTTTCCCGCGGGCCTCCTCAGAAGCTAAACATCTTTTTTTGGCACAGCTGAAGCTCTTCTTACGTCACTGTTAGAGTCGCTAGAGGGTGTTCACGAGCTCCTCCCAGCAGCACAGATCCTTAATAAGGCAAACTGTTCGGTTTTGCTAGGGGTTTCCCTAAACCCTCTAAACCGAACCCCAAAGATTTTGGGTACAACTCGGCCAGATGTGCATCTGGTCTTCGATGGTGGCAAAGTCTCCCAAGGCACCAGACTGTTCAGAGGAGGCATTTAGGGTTTAGGGTTTAGGGTTCCCCTATACCGTCAAGTGACCTAATTTACTTACGTTGCCAAACCCCTATGAGAGCACAAGAATAATTAGCATATAGGGTTTCTGCCTCCCTTTTGGGATCTGTGGATGTTTGGGGGGGTTCTTCGTGAACGTGTGGCTTCCAGGTGGGGTTGCGTTTGTCCACAAGTTGAACTGAACATATGCCTGGGGCCATGCTCGACAGTCTATGCTCCTCGGTGGGGCTGGTGTCATGACAGCCGCTGCTGAGTGACATGCTGATGATGATGCTGCTGCTGCTGCTGCTGCTTCTGCTGCTGCTGCTCCCAATCGAACCACAGTGACACCCCCACATACGCGCACGAAGTGACCTACTGGAAATGCAACACTGTCAGTGCCACTGCGAGCACTATCATGCCGATGCATCGGTGATGGCAACGAGCATTACAGTGGCAACAAGGACTTAGCCGGCAACGCTCAGAGATATCATTTTACGTGCCCATGACCATCGTTATTAGCACTCCAGGCTCGCAAGGAGAATGACAGGGTGTACTCCTAAGTACTGATACCTGTTTAGACTTAAAGTGCTGCGATACAACCGCAGGTACCGCACACTTCCCAACCCAGCTCCCTATCAACTCGAGAAGTCCGTCCGGAGCTGAGCAACAGCTGTGATGGTCCACCAGAATCTAGCAGATGGCATGAGTTTGGGTTCGTTTCTTGACCTCCGCCCGAAATCTCACGTGGATGACTGCCAAGCGCCCCACCTAGCTTGGACGATTCAACAGAGGCATCCCCCAGCATTCCCTTTGTTCATTACGAACGGCACAATAGACAGAACGCTCGTGGCGAGACACGACAGCGGTACTGACGTTCATAAGGCAGTGTTTGTGCACAGTTGATCTTGCCGCAAGCTGCAAGGAGTCGCCGATCCTCCGTTCTCTCCGACACGCAGAGAGATTCGCAGAGAGTGTCGGACCCCCTTTGCCCGCCCTCCTCGGGGGGCCCCTTCTTGGGTGTGCAAAGCCAGAGACCTTGGGCACTTGGAGGGACGCCAATAAGCGGGTGCAAGGATTCTGAAATTTGAATTGAACTTGATCTGAGCTGCGCCGACAGGAGCTGGCTGCGATGACCAAGTCGCTGGCGGCAGGGACGCTGTCTCCCAGTTGCAGTGCGATGAAACTTCTCGATTCCGGGAAAGAAGCGTTGCGTAGGGTCATTGGATGTGATGGGACAGTGGATACTGAATCCGTACACCATGTCTTTTCGGGTTTGCCTGCGTAAGGTCCAAGTCGCAGTCGATCTTCGCCACGAAGCACACCTGGGAGACCGAGTATGATGAATGAACTTTGCCAGCAAAGGGGCCGTGGGACCTCAGGGATTGCAGGGAGTGTCGGCATTCGGGGGCACTGTGAGGCCGTGGGGAACCAATCCGTGGGCTAGAAAAAAACAAGCAGCCCCTTTTGGCCCAAAGTGAACCTCAAGTCCGAGTCCGAGACTCGTTATACCCTAGGCCGCTTTAAATGATTTCAAATGCTACATTTCTCAACCCAAAAGCCCGATAAGAACCTAAGAGTCCAATCCCCCCCCAAGGTGACGACGAGGACGAGTTCCAGAACTTCTTAGCAGCTCGGATGAAGTGGCCGGATGTGGGGTTATTCTGAATTGGGGTGTACCGTTTATAATGGAGCCCCCTTATCAATCACCGCCAGAAGGGAGGTGGGTGAGGGGGAGCGCCCAGACCCCTAAATCCCTGAAGATCCCTAAGGTCTAAACCACTTAAGCCCGCAAAGCCCTCAAGCTTCAGCCCCCTGAGGAAGAGTGCGCCGAGCGCTATGCCCGGAAGCCGGATCATACACCTCGCCACGCACTTGAAACGGTCTCATGAGTCGAGTCGTCAACGGGTTTTCAGTTTGGGGTCGCTGAATGATTTTTAGTGGCTCTCGGGACACGATTCTCATTGCAAACTTGGCTCTAGAATCAAGTAGACGGTTCAGGACATGAGCTTCCGCCCCCTTATTGACGGACGGGCATCTTCGCTTGGCTTCGAGGATGTGCCCTAAGTCAGCTGCCTATAGGGGGTTACAGGAAATTGGGCAAGCTTACCGTTGGTCAGTAGGGCATGGAGGAATGAGGTACCCTGTATCATCCCTTAGTTAAAGGGTATGTATAGGGCTTCCTAATTCCCTCATTCCCTGCCCACCAACTGCAAGTACGGGGTCAACGAGGAGCCTCTGGCCTCAAAGGTTCAACTCACAATTAGGGGTTTAGGGTTTAGGGTTTAGGGTTTAGGGTTTAGGGTTTAGGGTTTAGGGTTTAGGGTTTAGGGTTTAGGGTTTAGGCTTGCTGCTTCATAACCGAGGTGGTAATGCTTCTGCAGAAGGCCCCCGCTTTGCACAAGACACGGCTTATCTTAAGTGCTGCCTTCTGAGTGCTGTAGAGGCTGGATGCAGCTCCTCTCAACTCAGAGAAAATTAGTTTCAGTTTGTGTCGACATCCTCACCCTGCAGGCTATTCCGATAGCGAGAGTGAGTCTGAAAAGAAGATCGCTTGTTGGAGACGCTCCAGGCCAGCGTCTAGAGGGAAACCCGTGCCGGACAATCATGGACTTGCCATTGCTTGCCAGCTTTTTCCGCGGGAGAGTAACCCTAAACCCTAAACCCCTAACCCCTAAACCCTAACCCCTAAACCCTAAGCGGTTTCAACTCCAGGATGTTGCATCCGCAGTCCAGAAAAAGGCTGCTTGGCATCTTGAGGAGCTGCAGCAGCTTGCTGTGGCTTCAAAGCGTTTTCTCGTCCCAGCTAGGGTTTCGGGTTTAGGGTTTAGGGTTTAGGGGGGGTTTAGAGGTGGGTTTTTTCAAGTAGTATCGGTTCCACTGCAAGCGGCTGGTACAAGCACTGAAGGTCCGATTGGCTAGAGGCTTGTGCGGATAGGTTCTTTGGCATGTTGACCCCAGAGCTTCAAAAGCCGCTAAGGTTGACCTGGGACTCAATGAGCGTGGCGATGATCGGCCAGGGGCTTGAGAAATCATGCCTGCAACTTGCGGTGTCGCCGGAGTGGGCCCTTGGGCATTCGAGGACGAGAGCGTTTTTGCATTCTCTCCCGTTGAGTTTGGCGTGTGGCTTGGGATACAAATGACTTGGCCTGACCGAGTCTAGGCTACAAATCGCCCCAGGAAGCTGCAAAAGCCCACCCCAGCTCCCTCTCTCCCTCCTCCCACGCCTCTCCCGCCCCACTCCCCCACCCTTCATCCTGGCCAACCACAACCGGTGGAGAGTTGCCACCATAGGACTGTAAGCCATCACTCAAGTCAAAGTCGCGTCAGATTCCCAAACGAGCGCACCTCAGGCCTTGACGTCCTTATGCTCCCGATGATCTACGGCATGAACATCTCAGAGACAGCAGAAGTACTGGCTGCTTCCTGCTGGCAGTGGTCTTTACAGCATTTGACAGCCGATAGCCATGGCACAGCATGCGCGGGAAGTCCCCCAGAGTGGGTTGCTGGTGAGTGTGTGTGGCAGTCTATGACCCGGAGACATGGTTGAGGCATCTCAGACAGGAAGAGGGGAGAGTTCCGGCCTTTTCCTTTGGGGGAGAGAGTTCCGGCCTTTTTCCTTGAGACCCATTGCACATTGCACACAACATGGTTGTGGACTCGAGATTTGCACCTGAAGGCCGAAGCTCTCAAAACTCTCCCCCTCAGTCCAGGTTGAGTGGTTTTGCACGATCTTCTGGTCTGCTGCGCGCTTAGCCACCTCGTAGCTGCCACTTCAGCGAGGTCCTCGTGGACTTTCATGGTGCTGCGAGTACTGTAATTGAAATTCTTCTGCCTGCAGTAGTTAACATGGCCCTGTATAGCGAAGGTGCCCCAAAAAAGGGACCTCAAATGAGGGAACCGCCCGTCGAGCAACTGAGATTGACATGCTCATGACCTTCCTGCCAGGGCCTCAGACCTTCCGGCATTTTTTGGCATCCTGTGCCGGCTTACCTAGAATAATCCACATGAAGTAAGGTGTACATGTCTGTTTTTGGTGAGTGTATATAAGGTTCCTTTTTAATATTGGTGAGTGTATATGCCGGGTGTCCTTTTGGGGGGGTACAAGAAATATATACCCTGCTTCAACATGATGCCCTTTAAAATCTGATAGAGTCCTGAATCCGTGGTATATTTCCTTTGTGAGGTACATCGGTTCCTCTAGGCACAGGGACTGTGTGAAGCTTGGACTTAGGGACTTACCGGGGACCCTCTTTACCAAATCAAGGGTATAGGTGCTACTAAGCTGTAGGATAAATCGAGTCCCAGGTAGTGCCTTCCAGGATGGGCTATTAGGCCTTCTCATCCCCAGAATCAACCCTAGACAGGGCCTTTTTAAGGGCTTATAGGGTATAGTAGAATCAACCCTAGACAGGGCCTTTTTAAGGGCTTATAGGGTATAATCTAATCAACCCTATCTAATCAACCCTATACAGGGTTCTTAAGGGCTTGTAGGGTATAATCTAGTCAACCCTATAAAGGGCCTTTTTGAGGGCTTAAAAAGGGTATAAATAGCCCATCCGGGTTCAGAGGGGGTTTACCGATCGACCCCCGAGGACTGGATACACGGTCGGCCCTGAGGTGGTCCTGTCCCCTCGCAAGGCTCGGGCCACTGGCTTTCTCGATTTCATAGCGGCGAGTATAGAGGTCGGAATAAATACTAATTTAGTATTCCCTTATCCCCAAAGGGGTCGGAATAAATTACGAATAGCAATTCCAGTATTCCCTTATCCCTCTATGAGACGTGGAAGACCGGCCGTGCGCCGCCGAATGCGAGCCCCGAAGTTTTCGAGAACCGCTCATGCCATGATGAGACCTCCCCCTCCTGCATAGCTCAAGGCTGCAGGTCCCCATGGCAGGCCGCTTCGGCGTTTTTGGTGCAAACTTACGAACCCTGAGCCTCTGAACCCCTGAAACCCCTGAACCCCTGAACCCCCGAACCCCTGAACCCCTGAACCTAAACCGAAGCGCCCCATGTGTCACGTTGAAGTCCTGAAGCCGTCAGGTGGCCTATCACTACCTGACCACCTGGCCGCCTGCCTTTGTTTGGGATTTAGGGTTTAGGGTTTAGGGTTTAGGGTTTAGGGCTTCCGGGACGACCTTTCGCAAAGAAGATTGGACGGCTCACCTAACCCTAAACCCTAAACCCTGAGGAGCTCAAGTTTTTTTTATGCAAGTCGAGAAGAGTTTGCATTTCAAGAAATGGCCGTTTTCCTTTGGGAAAAGTCTATGTTTGCGGGGCCCTCTATGGAAATGCAAAGACAAGGTGGGTACCTATCGGCATCGCACTCCCAATAGTAAGAAAGAACAAAGGGAGCAAGACTAGCAAGGATTCGAGGGAATCGGGTGGATGGAAATTCTTCCATTATGTACGGACCCGCGTGAACGAGACTGCCGTGAGCAACTATCTGTCCATTGCAAATTTTGATTGAACATCTTGGTTGTCATTCTCCATGATTTTTATCCAATACGTCAGGGGCTATATCATCCTAGTAATGTCGTGGTGGATAAATGACTTCGTGCGTGCGTGAGTGGGCGGGTGGGTGGGTGGGTGGGTGGGATGTGAGTGTGTGTGTGTGTGTGTGCACGCGCACGCGGTGTGTGCAGTGTGTGCATGTGTCGAGAAAAATGAAGGAAATTAAATACATGTACATATATACAAAATATGCAAACACGTGTGTGTGTGTGTGTGCATACATGTATGAATCTACGAATTTTTGCATTGCGAGTTTCCCAGGTTTGTCGTTGACTTTTTCATCGTGCCTGGCTCAGACTGCCCTAGACTGCTGCCACCTGGATTTAGGGCTGCGGATTTAGGCTCCTCCGGCTGTCGATGCCACATCAACGCATGCCCAGAAGCGCCCTTGTTCCCTTTTCGAGGGTTCATTCGAACACAAACCGAGCTTAAACTCCAGAACCGGCACCCTTTTTGCATTCTTAGGCTGCTGGGGGGGCAAGTGCGTGATGCTGTTTGCTTAACCCAGGAGGTGATGCGCTTGCTCGAGAGTTGCAGGAATTGCCCTTGAGAGGTCAGTACTTTTATGAGTGAGTGAGGCTTGCTTGAGGCCTTCGGATATACCTTCAACGCTGTACACTGGGCATTGAATATGCGTGTCCTCAGCAGTAAGCAAGTACGACTTTTGTCTGGGAGGCACACCTCAACCCTCAGCATATTGCAAGGCCTAGAGCCAAAAACCGACCCGCCCGAAATCAGAAAGGAAAGCCTCTAAAACCACTTGAAAGCCCAAAAGCCTACTTGGACGTTCATGTGGTAACTATACCTAGAGCCCTACTGATAAGGTACTTATAACCTTACTTCTGAACCCCGCCAAAACCCCCCAAAAGCCCAATGTAAAGAACCCAAAAGGTCGGTTCGGAGTGGGCCTCGCGGATCACGGAGTTCATTCAGGGCTTCAACGCCTTCCGCGCGGCCGGGGGTTTCCGGGGGTCACCGGAAGCGCCACTGTAGGGGGTTTTCTGGGGCTGAAGGCCCTCAAACCAAAACCCTTAAGGGGTTTAGGGCTTAGGGTGACCGATACACTCTGAAAAAAAGACCCTAGCAAGCATGATTAGGTCGCCCTCTTTCTTGAAGGGTATAAGGGTACTCAAGGTCAACCCAAACCCAAACCCAGGATCACTAAGGCGAAAGATCCAGAATCCAGACTTGAGTCGACAAGCCCATGAGGTCTGTAACCCTTAAGCTTTAAAGTTTATATCCACACCTGGACTCAAAAATGATGACCTCCCGTTTCTTATCAGGCTCAAGGTTCTTATATGAGCCAGTAGTGGTCTTGCTGCGAGGACCGGGAGTTCGCATTATGCTCCTCACGATTCAGGTGAGCCTGCTAAGTGGCCGGACGGTTCCACTCGCGGCAGCTTCGGATGAGACCGTAGAAGCCTTGAACAGCAGGGTGCAGACCTGTCTGGCAGTTGGCCGGGGCAGGCTCTTGGACTCCTCCGGAGCCATTTTGAATGGAGAAGCCACGCTCGAGGACTCTGGATTGCTAAGCGGCGATACTCTGACCTTCTTGACCGTTAGCAGGGTCCAGGTTTGTGGCGTCGAAAGTGCTTTTGCTTCGCTTCTGGGCGATGGGTCTGTTGAGACCTGGGGGGATGCCGACCATGGCGGCGACAGCAGTGCTGTGCAAGATCAGTTGAAAGACGTGCAGCAAATCCAAACTACCAACTCAGCTTTTGCCGCCATTCTGGGCGATGGGTCTGTTGTGACATGGGGCCATCCTAGAAGGGGCGGCAGCAGCAGTGATGTGCAACATCAGCTGAAAGACGTACACTTGCTCCAAGCCACCCGCGCTCCTTCCGGTGGTGCTTTTGCTGCCATTCTCGGCGATGGGTCTGTTGTGACCTGGGGCGATGCTGCCCATGGTGGCAACAGCAGTGATGTGCAACATCAGTTGAAGGACGTGCAGCGGATCCAAGCTAATGGTGCTTTTGGCTTTGCTTTTGGCGGCGCGTTTGCTGCTATTCTGCGCGACGGGTCTGTCGTGACCTGGGGCCATGCTGACTATGGTGGTGACAGTGCTGCTGTTCAACATCAGCTGAAGGACGTGAAGCAGATTCAAGCTTCCTGTGCTCCTTCTGGCGGTGCCTTTGCTGCCATTCTGGGCAATGGGTCTGTGGTGACCTGGGGCGATTCTGCCTGTGGTGGCGACAGCAGTGCTGTCGAAGCTCAGCTGAAGGATGTTCAGCAAATCCAGGCCTCTCAGCATGCCTTTGCTGCCATTTTGGGTAGTGGGTCTGTTGTGACCTGGGGCCATGCTGAAGATGGTGGCGACAGCAGTGCTGTGCAACTTGAACTATATGATGTGCAGCAAATCCAAGCTACCAACTCAGCTTTTGCTGCCATTCGGGCAGATGGATCTGTTGTGACCTGGGGCGATCCTTACGCTGGTGGCGACAGCACTGCTGTGCAACATCAATTGAAGGACGTGCAGCAAATCCAAGCGACCCACTCCAGCGGTGTTTTCGGTGCTGCTTTCGCTGCCATTCTGCGCAATGGGTCTGTTGTCACCTGGGGAGATGCGGAAAATGGTGGCGACAGCAGTGCTGTACAACATCAGCTGAAAGACGTACAGCAGATCCAAGCTACCAACTCAGCTTTTGCCGCCATTCTGGGTGATGGGTCTGTGGTGACCTGGGGCCGTGCTGACTTCGGTGGCGACAGCAGTGATGTTCAAAGTCAGCTGAAGGATGTGGAGCAGATTCAATCTGACTGCAGTCCTTCTGGCGGCTCTTTTGCTGCCGTTCTGGCCGATGGATCAGTTGTCACCTGGGGCCACACGGACGTATTCGGTGCCGACGGCAGTGAAGGAGCCAGTAGCGACTTGGGCGACAGTTGATCCCCATCACGAGCCAACCATACCCTAAATTTTCAAGACGTGTAGGCAGCGTTAGTTTGGCGGGGTTGGAACCGCAAACCCTGAAGGCTTAAAGGTTGATGGGGTCCGAAAGGATCCTGGTTTGTTTGATTTTGTTTGACCCCCAAGATTTGGGGCGGCAGCACTACATGTAAGACTCGAGCGTCTCACCGTCTCACCTGTCACAGACCTCATGAAATGCAGAATCGGAGAGCATCTCCGAAGATCTGCCGGAAGGTCCACACAAACGACTGCTCCCCGAATGCGAACGAAAGGCCCCCATTCTTGGGACCCAGAGAATTGCATGATCCCATCAGCCCGAGGATCCCCAGGCCGCGTTATTTCTGGCTGCCTGTCGAGCCTCCGGCTTCAAGTTGCGAGCCTGTGACAGGCCCGTGCAGTTCGAGTGCTTCGGGTGGTCCGCGTCGTGCGGCTTATTCGGCTGGCGCGCATGGTGAAGACCCTCCACAAGGCCCAGAAGAGTTTGGGGGGGGGGGGGGGGGGGGGGGGGGGCGGGGTTGGTACTGACCCTTCCCTCAAGCTTTTGCGTGAGAATCGGGGCCGGGAGGGGGTTAAGTGTCGGACGAGGATCTGAGTTCTTGTATGTTCTTGTGTTTTTGGATTTGGGCCTGGGGTGGGGTGTGGAGGGCCTGAGTTTGTATATTAAAGCATATTAAGCCATATAAGCCCCCCTAGACCGCTCCTCTGTGATGCTCTGCAGCTCATGGAGATGACGGGCTCCCTGCGGCTTCTGATCATCTTCAACGCCCTGGGGCTGCACACTTCAGAGTTTAGGGTTTAGGGGTTGTGGGTTTAGGAGTTATTTAGGGTTTAGGGTTTAGGGCTACTCAGGGGCTTCTCAAGCACCAGTACATCCCCATGTGCCTCTTGAAGACCACAGGAGACTTGCAGCACTTTTAGGCAGCAGATATGTCGTATCGAGGGCTCAGGTAGAGCTTGGAGATCTTGATGTTTTTTCGCGGCGCGCTAGTCCGCTGAAGCTTCGGCGGCCTACATGCTGAGGTCCTGAAGATGGCAACCTTGCTGATGTTGGTGGCGTGGCCGCAGGAATTATATATATATATATATATAATGTAGTGTGTATGTATACATATAGACATATATTGTGTTTAATTAGGTCTAGGGTTGACACGTTCTCGCATCCCCGGCGCGAAGCCCTCCAAGGGGCAGTCAGGCAGCACGTTAGCCTTGCTGCCGCAATGGACTCATCGACTTCCGCGCAAGCACATGAGCATCTGTCCAGGGTTGAGGGCTTGCGGAGACAAGCTGCGATTCAGAGTCTTAGAACCCTAAACCCTAACACCCTACAGGGTTTCAACGTGCCTTAGACCTCCTAAGGCTGTCCACTTCTTCTCTGTGGGCTGGCACTTCGTCGGCTACCACACTGACGGAGGTGCCAAAACCTAAACCCAAACCCTAAACCCTAAATTAGGCTTCAAAGAGAAGCTATGGGATGTTTTTTGGTGTTTAACTTGGGGCTCCACATGTAGCGTTTGAAGAACATAAACCCTGCAAACCCTAGGAAAAGCCTAGCAGCCCTGTAGCCTATCATAAGCCCTATACCAGCCCTTTGAAAGACTCATGGTTTCTGAGATCTCTGCTATGGTACCAAACACCACCCACGCAGGTGAGGTTGGTCGTAGAGTCATATGCAGTATACACTCCTCAGAATTCGATTTCTGTATGCAACGCCTCCAAATGCGCTATTCTGAAACTATTGGGAAGCGATGACATGTGGCACTTTATTTAAGGTACCTTAAATAGCACGAGAACTAGCAGATATCGATGAGGCTACCGCTAGGATCTAGGACACACAGCGTTTTGGGGGTAATTGCAAAGGCCTGTTCTAAAGACAGATGCAAGTGCCATGCCCTCCACTACTTAAAGGATCAGGGGACTTAGATGATTAGGGCAACTATGATAGATATAATTCTTACAAACCCCAATTAGGGTATTTATAACCCTACTTACTAAGTCCGGTTATGATTAGGGCAAGTAATGATAGATATAATTCTTACAGCCCCAGGTAGGGTAATTTTAACGCTACGCGACCCGCCTCGGCCCGGCCCAGCGCATCCGCAGCGCCCAAGTCGCTGGACCCAAGCAATAAGGGTTGGGTTTAGGGTTTAGGGTTCCGGGTTTATGGTTTATGGTTTGGGGTTTAGGGTTGAGGGTTAGTTTAGGATTGAGGGCTTAGGGCTCAAGGTTCATGCTTTGGGGTTTAGGGTTTTTTGGGTTTAGGGCAGAGGGGAAAGGGGGGGGGAGCTAAGATTTAAGGTTTCGGGTTTCAGTTCAAGCTTAGACTCTTCGGCTCGTCCCCGGCCGTGCTCACACCAGTTGAGCCTCGAAAACCGGGGGGCGAAATAGGGGGGGGGGGGGGTGGGGGGGTTGGGGGGGGGGTGGGGGGCGGGTGGGTGGGGGGGCGGGTGGGGCGGGGGTTGGTGGGGGGGTTGGGGGGTGGCGGGGGGCTGCTGGGGGGGGTGGGGGGCGGGTGGGCGGGGGGTGGGGGTGGGGGGGGGTGGGGGGGTGGCGGGGGGCTGCTGGGAGGGGCTTCAACTGCCTCTGGTCCTGGCGAACCGTCCGCTTGCGGACCCCGGTTTCTCAGGGGGGGTACCCATTTGAGGCAAAAAAAGGGTCCGAAAAGTCGCTTGGCCCGAGGCGGCCGTGCTCACACCAGTTGAGCCTCCGGCCCTCAAGCCAGCGCGTCGGAGGAAAACTCCGCCTTTCACAAACACCTTATGTGAGCAAGCGCCAAAACCCCCAGCCAAATACAATTAAGCAAGGGGTGCACACGAATGCCTAAAACCCTGTAAAACGATGGGAACACTTGAAAAGCGACACCCCTAGATTATGAACCATTGGGTGTGCTATAGCGACACCTACAAAAACATCAAGCCCCCTCTTGTTGCGTCCATTAGCACCTCGAGCCCAGCCGCTCATGTGGCTTAGGGACAAAAGGGGGGGGTAGGGGGGATAGGGGGGGGGGGGGGGGTAGGGGGGGGTAGGGGGGGGGGGGGGGGGGAGTGGGGGGGGGGTGGGGGGGGGGTAAGGGGGGGCAGGGGGGTGGGTTCAGCGTCGGGGAGGTCAAGCGGGGGGGGGCCCTGCTGGGAAGGGCTGCAACTGCCTCTGGTCCTGGCGAACCATCCGCTTGCGGACCCTGCTCATCTAGGGGGGGTACCCATTTGAGGCAAAAAAAGGGTCCGAAAAAGGGTTTGGGCTTGGGGGGAGGATTTGGAGGGGGGTGCCTGTTCTGACTACCTATACACCTTCGGCCCGAGGCCTCGGCGGATTATAACCCTCAACCCTAGACCCTAAACCCTAAACCCTAAACTCTAAATCCTCCAAGTGGCCTCCCGACAGGCTGGGTGGAGAAGGAAGGCTTTCTGGAGCAGCCTGCAATGGTCAGGTGCTTCCGCCAAGCTGCCTTGCAAGGGCTGGTCAGTTTTAGCTAGGCTTAGGGTTTAGGGCTTAGGGTTTAGGGCTTAGGGTTTAGGGTTTAGGGTTTAGGGTTTAGGGTTTAGTTTTTAGGGTTTAGGATTTAGGGCCGCAAGGTGGAGGGGTCAGGAGGATTTTGTTTCAGGGTGTTGCTCTTGATCCTTTTCTTCGCGTAGTTGCGGCATAGTTGCACGAAGCAGTTCGCTCCAGGTTTCTAGCAGCAGGGGTGGCTGCGCCATTCAAGGACGACTCGAGTATGTGGTGGCCAGCATCAGACTGAACCCCAAATCCTAAACAGCAAATACCTCCCCTCCCCCCCAACCTCTGAACCACCATGGTTTATCCAAAGGCTTGCTTGGAGGCATCGCTCGGCATGACTTGGTCAGAAGTAGGGCAACAGTAGTTATGACCGGCCAGAACCATTATTTGGGGGCACTTACAAAATTGCAACCCTACTCATTACTTCCCATGAACCCCCACCAAACACCATAAACCCAAGTTTTTCAAGCAACTCTTATAACAAATTCTAACAAATGATAACAAATTACAACAAGTTATAACAAATTATGACAAAAAGAGCCTTCAAAGAAGCCTTCACCCCCCTGTTCTCCTGTCGAAGGTACGTAGCAGCGGCAAGATGGACGCTGGCCCAGCTCAATGGCCGGACAGACAGACAGGCTCGAAGGAGTTTAGGTTTTAGGGTTTACGGTTTAGGGTTTAGGGGGTGATTGAGCCCCCGAGATCCCACTAGAAATTCTGAGGTTTGAAGCAGTTGGGAACAGGGCCTGCGGCTTCAATTTGGGGCTGTGGACTCAGGGGTTTATAGGGGGAGACTGAAGCCCACACTTTCTGTTCCTCCTTGGCCGGGCTGGAGGGTTGACTGGTATGAGTATGAGCGAGGTGGAGCCGCAGAGGCTTGCGCTTCGAGGTGGCAGGTTTCAGGGCTCCGCTAGAGTCGCTAGAGCTTCTTGTGCCAATGTGGTTCGGACTGAGTTTCAGGGCTATTCAGAGTTTGGGGCTCCGTGGCTCAATGCTTCAAAGCTTCTGTCCATCGGTCCGAGAGAGTGTCTTCACGGTACTTAGCTTCTCAGAGCAGGAGATGAAGTTTAGGAATTAGATCTCATGCCCCAGATCCTAAACGCTTGGCCCTTCCTTGCCTACTTTGCCTTCTTTCCGTGGCAGGAGAGAACATTTGTGGAGATGCTGTACATAGCCTTCACGGCGCCTTGGACCGTTTAGGGGTGCTACGCTGGCCGCTGGCACTACTTACCACAAAAATAGGGTTTGGGGATTGCAGGGCTTAGCTCTAGACCCCTAAGCATGGGGGAGAGCATTCGCCTTCCCGACCAGCCTTGTCCAGTCCGAAGCACAAGGTAGGCTCAAGATTCGCCAAGTGAGGCCGCGTTCACGCTGATCTTCATGTCCATCTTCGTGTCCAGCCTGACATCACGGATGCTGCAGCTGCAGCAGCTCATGGACAAGGAGTCAGGACGGCCTTTGGTCAGTTTGCTCCAGGTTTGGGAGGTTTTTTTTTGTGCACTTGACTCTTTTTGGAAAGACATTCCAGGGCACTTGCTTTGGCAGACGATTCGAAGGCATAGCCGCGTAGCCGCATAGCATCTCCGTTGCCCCTACATGGCTGGATCTTGCCCTGAATTCTCACCCTCCTCTAAGCCGTGACGGAACCTTTCGGACCGACTTGAATGGCATCCCCATAGCTTTGGTCAAATCGCTTTTCGTGCAAGTCATTGGAGCTTTCTTGTGTCCGATGACAAGTTCGCTAGATTCACATGTTCTTGTCCTTCTTATTGCGCCAAAAAGGACAACCCCGCCGAAAAGAAAAAACAAAACAGACCGCTCAGAATCAGAACACCAGGAACGTTTCCGTCGGCAAAGTAGAATGAAATTTTGAAAAAAAAAAAAAAACAAGGTGCCAAACTATCCCAGTCGGTCTTCGGCTGAAAGAATCCTACGTTGTCCGTAGCGATGGCGTCAAGAATATGCGATGGCGTGAATTTGTTGGCTTCATTTCTCGTAGCCGAGCCCCCATTTCTGGATCACGCTGCAGTTAATGGATCCAAGTGCGAGTCGATGAATCTTCCATGAGCCTGCTGGCACGCACATCCCACCGCCTAAGCCCGGCCTAAGCCCGCAGGTTACAAGCGCCTTCTCCAAAGATACCGTGAGATGCCGGGAGCTTTGATGCTTGGGGTTGAAGGGTTTGAGCAGAAGTTCACAGAAAGAGGAGCCGCCCATGCTTGCAAGCATTCCGAAGAGGCAGAACATGTTTGCCATAGAAGAGGGAGATGACAGTGGCCACTTAGAATCCCTCCCAGACCCCGAAGGCTCTTCGCGCCTCAAACCCTGACTCGAGCCCTAAACCCTAAACCGTAAACCCCAAACCCCAAACCCCAAACCCCAAACCCTAAACCCTAAACCCTAAACGGTTTAGGGTTGCTGTCGTTTCGCGTCGTTTGCGTGTACCCTATAAGTTTCGGGTTTAATTATGAACCCTTTCCGGTTCGGTTTTCTACGGTTCGTGTCCGGTACGGTTGGCTCCCGGTTCTTACACGGTTCGGTTCCTACGGTTCCGGTTTCCCGGTTCGCGGTTCGGTTTTATGGTCATCCTGTAAACCCTAAACCCTAAACCCTAAGCTTCCTAGCCCCCTTTCTTGACCCTTCAGGCACTCCCTGTCCTTCACGACCGTCTACCTGGCGAAGCGGCACATCAAGGATATGGGGCTTCGGGCTTTACAGGATTTGGAGTTTAGGCTTTGGGGTTTTGGGTTTCGGGGTTTAGAAAGTTTTGGGTTTAGGGTTTAAAAGCCCTACTTGTAAAAACTCGAAAAAGTCCTGTGTTTAGGGTTCAGGGCTCATGCAGCTCCACAGCGCTACACCAGAAAGCCCGGCAAAACCCAGGGGCCTCCCAAGGCCTTGGTGCTTGGAGTCTAGCATCCGAGAGCCCTGGGAAGGTGTGTAAAATGAAGGTGGAAGCTCGTGAGAGTTTAGGGCCCAGACTTGGTCACATGCGTCTTCCGTCGAATTCTGATCTTGCGTGTAGGACCGCACGAACTTGGACACCGACATGGACACTGAGGCCGACAGCCTTTGAGGGGTATGCGCTTTGAAGCTGGGCAGCCCTGTTCAGCTGGACCGATTCCAAGTTTGCCAACACCCTAACCCCGGGAGCTGGTTACAAGTGAGTTCCTTCCTGAGGCCCTAAGCTATTCAGTAGGGCCTGAACCCATCGCCAGGCCCAGCTGCTTCGCTTGCTTCCAGTGCAGACACAGGCCATGATTGGCTTTGGTCCGTATAGGAACATCTCTGGGCTAGGTATAGTTGAGCGCTTTAGGCACAGGCCTGTTTTTGGGTTAGCTGTCAAGGGCGACTCTGTGTTTGAAGGGCTTTTAATTGAAGGCAACGGAGTACGACACCTGCAATAGAATCATGGACTTTGGGAGTATGCTCCTGCTGCTGATGCTGAAGTTGACCCTCGCGACTTCCAGCCAGACTCTGGCACGAGCCAATTCAAGACCAGCCACATGACAAAAAGCACGCTACAGTGACTTCCGCTCACAAACTCTTGGGTTATAGTTATAGGGTTTAGGGACGCAGCCGACAGAGCCTCGAGCGTGACTAGGGCGTCTTGAGAGGCACCATGGCTTATAGGCTTACCTTCCCCAGCACTATTCCTGAGTCTTCTATGCACTGAGAACGGCCTGGGGTTTAGGGTTTAGGATGTAAGCCTCAGCCCCAAAATCTAACCCTGAGCCCTATAAACCCCTAAACCCGAGAATCCGCCATGGCGTCGCCAAAGAAGCCGAGCCTGAAGTCGCTGATTGCAAAGGGGGAGCTGTTGATCGCGCCTGGCATCTTCGCCCCTTGCGTTGCAGGGTCTAGGGTTTAGAGTTCTTCAGAGGATCATGTGTAGTTGGGATAGTAACCGGATAGTAGATATATATATATATAAGCTAAGCAGCAAGCACACATAAATTGGCTGAGTCGCCTTAGTTGGAAACCTCTAGCCCTACTGAAAAGTGAGCGGTCAAGGTTTTACAGAGCTTTTAGCATTTGCGACCTGGGCATTTTCGGCTTTAGGATTTAGAACTCCTTTTTGCTGTTGGGTGTTGGAGCTTTCAGGGTTTGGGGCTTCAGTGCACTCAGGGCTTAGGGTTTCGGATTTGAGAGCGTTCTCTGAGGATGGCATCTCCGCCAGGGTGGCCGAGCAGGTGGCCTGAAACGACTGCTCTTGCACCCTAAACCCTAAACCCTAAACCCTAAACCCTAAACCCTAAACCCTTCAGTCGTCCTTGAACCTCCTGCGCAGGTCGGCTTCAAAGCGTTGTACATGACAGGCCCTTGCCAGCAGCATTGGGTTGCGTGCTTGGGGGTAGGGTGGTCTTCGGCTGGGGTGTGTAGGGTTTGGAACGTGGAGAAAGCGTCAGGAACAGGGAGCACACCCAACGAGGTGTAAGCTTTCAAGGTTCATATAGAGCTACAAAAGCTCAAGGTCAAACCCCGGCCCCAACCCCTAACCCTGGCAGTAGTGCTCGCCTGGAATCCCCCTTGCCCGAACAATTTTCTCCTCAGGACGATGATTATGAGGCGAGGTCATGAATCAATAGTCCACATGAGGCTGCTGACAATGCAGGAGCCTGAATATCTTCCAGTATTTTCCCCTTAGAAACGCTGCATTGTGAGAAAAGCCACTCCAAAGTCCTGTTCTCATTGAATGGGGGGGCCCTTTTGTAAAGCGGGCTGCCGGAGTTCAGGCTGCAAGGTCTCATCAGAGGGCCAAAGCTGAGATCAACCCCCCCATGTAGCTGAGATTTGCACTAGCTGTTGACTCTTTTACCCTTTTGGCTCGCGGCCTTGCTGGGTGTTTGTACCTACGCTCATCCCAAGATTACAATCCCTCGAATCCTAGAGGTACCCCAAACCCCAAAACCGTAACTTCCTCAACCCTAGACTGCACTAAAGCCCTGCCTCAGGCTTTGGGACTGTGGGCAGCCACTTGGGCTTGCCAGATGCTGGTCTTGCCTCATACCGCGACATGGTGGAGAGGGTCTGCCGGTGGCATGGGGGAAGAGTCTTTAAGGCTTCCGGGGTTCAGGGGTTTGAGGCTTTAAGTTTGGGGTCTTGCGGGTTGGGCATGTCACAAGGAATCCAGTCAACCTTTCGTCATGGCCACAGGAAATGGAGCTACTATCAACCCTGCGCATTCCCGATACCCCTACCCAACACCCTAAACCCTGGGCGACGACGCGAGGTGCGGACCCTTACCGCCCTGACGTCGGTTCCTGTGATTTGCGATGGGGACACAGGCTTTGGTGGCCTGCTCAATGCAACTCGACACGCATTTCGAGTAGCATCGCGGTTGAGGGCTCAGGGAGTTTAAGAATGCCCCACCGCTGGCTGAGCCCTCCAAACCTAGACGTATATTTTAAGGGTTTAGGGTTTAGGGTTTTGGGTTTATGGTTTATGGGGTTTAGGGTTTAGGGTCCAGGGTTTAGGGTTTAGGGCAACAGTTGCAAGAACAAGAGCTGCCTGGCATCAGCGTTTTGCTGACCATCTTTCAATGTCCGCGCACGACGACCCAAAGCGGCAAGCACGTCTTGGGGTTTACTGTATGGCATGTACTCTATGACTACACATCGAAGTGCTTGATGTTTGATGCTGCATGCCAATTTGTGCGTAGTTGGTTCTGATACCCAGGTGGCCCACACAGTCAGGGGATATGTGCCTACGCTGCAAGATGAACTATAGTTGTTGGCTGGCGCCGCCGGTTCTGACATCTGAGCTGAAGGAAGAGGGCAAGGGGGCGCTAGGCTGAAAACGTGTACGATGACCGAGTTATTAGGCAATAGAATCACCTGCGTGAGCAGATATTGAAATGCAGACGAACAAAACCAAGCCGAGAAGCCACATTATTGGGAAGCTTGCAAAGTTGAGGCCTTGGTACTTGCGAAGCCTATGAATCCTTAACCGTAAGCTCTCGACCCTGATCAAAGGAAGAAGCGGGTGCAAGCGCCATCCAGCTGGAGGACGCCCCGCCCCGACCCCGTCAAGGATTCGGCTAGCCCACCGCTTTCGGGGGAAGGGGCCCAGGGTCGAAGATCTTCAATGGGAGCCCCCCTACCTATGCAGAGCTTCCGCTGTAAACTAGGAAGAAACCCTGAGTCGCAGCTGGAGGACCAGGAGTTCCCCAAGAAGTGCGGTCACACACCCGGGCGCAAGGCCAAGAGAACCCGGGACATTCGTCAATGGGCGGGTTCAGGGCTTTAGGGTTTAGGGTCTTCAAGATGTTTCAAGACGACCCAGCAGGTGCCAGAAAAACCTTCAAACTCAAAGGCCCAAACCCCGAAACCCTGGATCGCAAGTGATGGCTGATAATTACTCGGAGGAGGTAGAGCAACAAGGTTTACATTCTCAATTTGGGCTTGTAAAGATGTTCTTCAGCTTCAGTGGCTCTTTGTAGAGTGGGGCCTACGTGCTTAGAACAGGGCTTACTGGAGTTCGGCATTGCAAGTTCCAACTCTTGTCCGCAAATAAACCCTAAGCCCTAAACCCTAAACCCTAAACCCATAAAGGTATCGAGAGGCCTTCAAGTACGGCAGGTGATCCCCTTCGAGCAGGCCGTGGCCAAGATTCGTGTGGCGTCAGAGGCCACCCCATGCATGTCTGGCTAGGGTTTACGGTTTAGGGTTCAGGGTTTAGGGTTCCGCTTTTGGGTTTGAGAGGACTAAGCGTCTCGGAGGGCAACCACGAAAGTCGAGCACTGGCAGCGCTGAGCTGGCAGAGCTCCAGAGTATCAACAAGAGATCAGCCATGGGCTTGTAGAGCCACAAGAATGCAGGAGTTCACACTATTGTCCTAGCGGACATATGACATATCTACAATATTCAATTTACAGATGGCTCCATCTATCTATCCTGCTTGTAGTCCTATGTCCTGTCTCGCTGTCCGTCTGTCTCTCCATCTATGTCTCTGTGTGCCTCTCTCGACATGTATGTTTAAGGTCTGTATATCTGGTCAGTATATATATATACATATATATATATATATACATACAGAAATCTGTATGTATGTAGATATATATATATGTATATATATATATATGTATGTATATATCTATAACGCATAGTTCACCCCCCCCCCACCATACGTACGGACGTACGTACGTACATACATACATACATAAATACATTCATACACACATTTGTGTGTATATATATATATATGTATTTGTGTACTTGAATGAATGAGAGCGTTTTCTGTTTTGAGGGCAAAAAAAGTTCGCCCAGCGAGGCGCGGAAATCCCCAGACTTCCTGATCGTGGCGCGGACGGATGCGCGCACCAACCTCGGACCGGGTTCAGGGTTCAGGGTTCAGGGGATTTGGGCTCAGGGTTTATGGTGTTTCGTCGAACGACTGCCTTCCCAAAATCCTCGCAGTGAATGAAGGCACTACGTCAACCCCAAACCCTAGACCCTCAACCCTAACGGAACAAGAAGCACAAAGCCTGAGAGTAGTTTCAAAGCAGTCCCTTGGTTTGACCCTGCTCGGCTTCTGGACTCCTGAGCGCCAAACCTCTACACTCCCTGAAGCCCGACAAACCATACCCCTAAACCCTAAACTCCCTAAACCCTAAACCCCAAAACCCTAAACCCTAGACCCCAAACCCTAAACCCTAAACCCCAAAACCCTAGACCCCAAAGCGTGCAGCATGACGGCGAGGACTCGAGGAGGCCATCCGCCGCGCGAAGGCGTTCGCGGAGGAGCCGTGCTTCTCAAGGTTTGGGGGAGGCTTCGGGCTCTACTTGGGTTTAGGGTTTAGGGTTTAGGGTTTCGGGTTTAGTTTAGGGTTTAGGGTTAGGGTTTAGGGTAGTCCAGTGGTGCCCTTTTGCCATTTTTTGGTTCCAGATTCCCTTATAACAAAAAGGGTACCCTCATATATGTATGATTACTGGGCTACCAAGGCTACAGAGTTCTTTCATTCTAGAGGTTTCTATTGGGTTGTCAGGGCTCTAATTTTTCTTCAGGTTGATTGCTCAGATTTCATGGAGGGACCTTCTGAAAGGGTACGATGCGGCTGAAGAGACAATTTCCAGGCATGATTCTAAACTTTTAACCTTGTAAACTGAGAATTCAGCCTTAAACAACCCTAAGCCGTTCCTGCAACATTCCGAGTTCCAATCTTCTGTGGTTTGTTTGTTGCATGTCTACTTTAATTTCAGAACCGCAACCCCCCTAACCCTCTTAAAACCAAAAGCCCTTCATGATCCTCTTACTTCAACCCTTAATTGTTAAATTGAACCCTCAACACCCCCCCCCCCCCCCCCCCCCCCCCCCTACAAAAAAAGGGGGCGCTTAAAACCCTCAAAGCCCCAAACACCCCAAAGCCCGCCCCTGAACTACTATTTGCTTAAGAACCCCAAAAGGGTGAACATAATAATCCTTATATTGCCCTTAATAAGGAAGCACTTTTCTTTTTTTTGGGGGGGGGGGGGCTTTTAAGCAATTAGTAGTTATAAGACCCTGTCCATACTCAGGCCGGAGCCGACATCCTCTTCGTCGAGGCGCCGGAGTCTGAGGCGCGGGACCTCTCCACATGCTGACAAGATGTGGGGTTGAGGGTTTAGGGTTTAGGGTTTAGGGTTTAGGGTTTAGGGTTCAGGGCTGGGGACAACACACAAACGCCCAGGCACACAAGAAAAACACAACAGTCTTTGCGGCGGGAGGGCGGGGCAAAGTTCTGAGACAAACAAGCAGAAGCTGTTGGCGGACCAATTGGAAAGCTTGAGGGTCAACTCTCGAACGTGCAGCACAACATGTGCAACATGCGTGGTCACAAAGACATGCAGAGTAGGACAAGCAGGTGACTCAAATGCACACCTATAGACACCGAGCCCGGTACGTAGTTTGCTTTCAACACCTGGAATATGGCCTCGTCAACAAGTGGAAATTGTGCCGTGGGTGCTCAAAGGGCATTCTGCTTAATCATGTTTTTTGGTGAGGGTTTGCTATACTATGTTGGAGTCTATGCTCCAGCCTCGCGGCAAAAGCCCCAATGCCTGACAGCGCAGCCGCAGAACCCCGCGATGCAGGCGGAGATGAAGCAGATTTGTGATGCACTGGCGCCCACTGGCAAGGCAATGCTGGTCAATGCTGTTGAAGGCCCAGCGGCTTTAAACCCGAAGCCTAAACCCTAAACCCTAAGCCCCAGCCCTAAACTCTAAACCTGAACCTTGTCAACCCTGACCTTGAGCTGATCTGTCGCATGGGGGGGGATCCTAAACATGAGGCTCCGGACTTAACAAGGTAAGCTGAAAAGGTCCACCCTCTGCAGCTGAGGGTCCCTTAATAGAGATCCCGTTTAGGAGTTTTTGTAGGAAGGTACTTGGGGAAATACGCAAACCCGTCTACCAAGAAGGCTCATGCTGATGAGTGCTCCTGAGGCTAAAGGCAGGTTGGCATCTTGAGATCATAGAAGACCTTGAGCCGATATCCATCCGCAACAAGCTCCACCGTGCCCTAGACTGGTAATATGGGGGCCTGAAGAATTAGAATAGGGTTTTGGGAGTGTTATTCTAGCATAACTACAAAGGGGCCATAAGGGAATATGATTCGCATTTGTTCTGACCCCTGTATTAGCTGTAGTGACTTGGCACAGAGACGTCAGGCGGAAAGACCCCCGTGCTGCCACGGCAGAGATACATCGAGCACCTCGGATAGACAGGACACCTGGAAGGTCCCCTATTCTGGGGTATGGTATGTATTCAACCGATGGTTGTTTTGCCTTACAATGGTTGTTTTTGGGTTACAGGGTTGTCTTTGAAGCCCGTCATTGTTGCCTGGCTGGCATGTTCATGGGATACGTGCAGCACCCCGCCAGACCACGAACCTTGCACCTCCAAAGTCGTATCTGAGGCTGGGATACCAGGTTGCAATTTATCCTGCGACGGGCTTTCTGGCCATGGGGAAAGTCTTGGAGAAAGTCTACAGGTCGGCTCATGCCTGTTTGTTGAAGCTAGTGCTCTTAATTTTCGCGCAGACCTGCCAGGACTTTGCGTGATGAGGGTGCCTCAGCTGCATTGACGGGCGCGAGAGCAGCAAGCAGGATGATGGCGATTGTCATGATGGTGGCGAAGAATGTGATGGTGATGCTGCTGCTGACATCACTACCCTCACGATCATGATCATGATGACGGTCATACCTGTCGTCGTCATCATCATCCTAACCGACGTTGTCACCATCAATGTCGTCGTCATCGTCATGCTCAGCATTATCATCATCGCCACCATCACCAGCACTATCACCGCCACCATCGCCGTCATCGTCATCGCAATCATCATCAAGACAAAATCATTACAATCAGCATCGTCGTCATCAAATCAGTCGTAGTCGTTTCCTTCATCTTCAGGACTATCATCGTCATTCTCTTTCATATCGTCATGAGTCATGATGTTGATGGTCATGACCACCACCAACACCATCATCATTATCGCCATCCACTGCGGCGGCAGTGGCAAACACGGCGGGAGAAGCGGCAGCAGCGGCGGCGGCGGCAGCAATCACCACTACCACTTGCACCAGCGCCAGCGCCATCATCATCATCATCATCATCATCATCATCACCAGTACCTATTCGTCATCGTCATCATCATGAATACCATGAGAAGCATCATCACCAGCAAAATCATCATCATTATCTTTCTCAACCTCATCCCTATCCTCATCTTCATCCTTCCTTATCGTCCTCGTGAATGCCATCAGCTTGATCAGCATGTAGCGCACGCTGTTCCTTGAGATGTCGATGACCATGCGCGCGAGGAAGCCTCATTGAAGCTTAGCGTGCCCGATGTCCACGGCACAGTTCAGATTCTATACTTCCCCCTAGATCCTGGACACCCCGAAACGACTTTCTCAACTCTCAAACGTCAAACTCCTGAACTCTAGCAGACACGAGCAAGTCTGGAGGATCCTCCCATTCTTGTCAAAGTGACCTGGCCAACTTTCGCGGCTTCTGTGTGACGATGGGCTTCCAAAGCGTTTGGGATTTCGCTGCTTGGCCCAGAGCAGGCAGCACCGGGGCTTGGATTGGTGTTAAGGTTCATGGGCCTTCCGTAGCTTTCGGGGCCTGGGAGTTTGGGGGTGAGAAAGCTAGGGCTTTCCTTGGGGTCTCTAAGAGTAAGAGGGTTCAGGGAAGCGAGTGCAGCGCACAGGCTTCGCTTTTAAGCTTCAGGAAGAAGCATTACTCATACGTTTGCAGCGGCGGCTCATGGCCCGACTAGCTTTGAAAACCTGTCACCCCAAACCCTAACTAAACCCTAAACCCCAAACCCTAAACCCTAAACCCTAACCCCTAAACCCTAAACCCTACTGCTTAAGGACAAAGAGCACGCAGATCTGGAGGAGGCGGCGCCTCGACGCGACTAAAGAGAAGCTTCCCACCCCGGTGAACATATGGGGGCTTTCCGAAGGGGTTTAGGGTTTGGGGTTTAGGGTTTAGAGTTTAGGGTTTCGGGTTTGGGGTTTAGGGTTTAGAGTTTAGCGTTTGGGGTTTAGAGTTTCGGGTTTGGGGTTTAGGGTTTTCCGAAAGTAGGGGGTACCTTCTTAGGGTCCTTATGATAAGGGCATCCTACCATTTGGGAATCATATTAGGGTCCGTTATTTTCGCACAAAACAAACATGTATCTATATCGCAACTGGCTGCAGCACCCGGTAAATTGCAGCTGGGTAAAGGCAACTTGGAAACGAAATTGCGCACCGTGAGAGATTTTTGTGATGTGCTGTCGTCGTGGTTCTTCGGTCAGGCATAAGAAGCATAGCCAGCAATCACAAAGTCCCTTTAGTATTACCCCAAGCATACTTTTTGTACATGCACCCTACCCAAACCCAAGCCTAGCAGAAAACCCACGTAGTTCACCCAGGGCTCGTAGCATGTAACCTTCACGACCCCGTCCCGAAGATCGCTTAAGCCTCAGCCGCCGGGAGATCCCCAAAACCATTGGTACGCCCAAGGATTCAGGGTTTAGGGTTTAGGGTTTAGGGTTTAGTGTTTAGGGTAACCCCTTTGACGCTCTCAAATGAAATGCCCCACAAACAAAGCCTCCAAACCCTTCGAGCCCAACACATCTGACACACCCCAAGGGTCATGGCTTCGAACCCTTAGTCGGTGATAACTTCAGCAGGTTCCCCCTCAGAAGAAGCCGAAGACGGCTCCTTGGCCTCGAAGGGCCTTTTGCCTGAGGGGACGAACTGAGTGGGCTCTTTTCTTCGACATTCTTGAAGATCCGTCAAACGAAGGGGGATGTTGGGAATCTTCCAGCTCCACACAACGGTTCTAACCCTGGTATGTCTCCAGTTTTGTCGTGGCAGTGGGCAGTGGCCGTATTCTGTCCTTGTGAGTGTTTGGTTCCTATAGAGGACATCATGGAAAAGCTCTCTGCAAAAGCGGTGTCGCGTCGCAATCATGATGGCCCTGTAGGCCCTGTAGGCTTAGCGCTGACACGTCCGCCCTGCCCAACATCTGGGATCAAGATTGAAGTGCAGCCCGAAACTCACGCTGGTCGCGTTAGACTTCGTTGGCGGTGTGCGAAGAGCACTTTTGCTTAGGGAAGGCTGGATGGCATTCCCTCCTTCGCGTGGCCATAGCTGAGGTGTGACAAGCCTCTGACAAGCGGCTGGAAGTGAGGGACGCGGACTCACGTGCGATTTTCAACAAAAGTGGCCCGATGTTCAGCGCTCGTGCTGCTAGAATTCGGATTCTGGAGGATTCGAGTCGACCATATGCCATGCTGGGAGCGCAGTGCGTTTTTGGGGCAGTCTGAGTTGCTGAGCTGGGCCAGAAAGGATGCCACCTTCAATTTTCACTCCGCCCGGAGTTCTGTCCGAGCGTGCCCCCCAAAAGAGAAAAGAGGCGTTGAGGGTGCTCCTTGGCTCAGGGATGCTGTGATCACGGGCGCGGGGACAGCCTGAATCTACACGACTCCGCAAGTTTCAAGCCTGCCCTGCCAGGCAGACCTGCTGTCCGAAGCATCTCAGCTGCCCTTCATCGTCGGTGCTCTTTTCTACTCTCAACATGTCCTGTCCCGCTTCTCATTGCCCTTTCATTAAGTCCTGAGCTGTAGAAACTCCAGCCCTGCTCTACCTTGCGTGCCCCCGAAGGTACGCATGCCCCTGCTGTCACATCATCCGCCGCTTCGCAGCAGACAGGTTTTTGTGTTTGAGTTTGTAGGAGGCTTCTTATCGGAACTGCCCGGGTTGGACATTTAAGCTGCTGGGCTTGGAGGTTGAAGGCGCAGGGACCTTTAGTGTCGAGTGAGTTGTATAGTGATACTGTTGTCATTGGCGTACGTGTGCCCACGACACTCTCACAGCACTCTGCGTTGTCAGAAGCACATGTTCTTGTCAAGTCCTATATGCAATGTTGCACAGGCTTTTCCGACTGATGAAGGGTGAGTTCAATGCGCTGTTGCGGACGATGCTGATCAGTGTGATGAAGCAGGCCCAAACCACATTTAGTGTGCACGAAACGGCACCAGCATTTCCGAGGCTAGCCCAAGCCATGTCGTTTAGGGCTTCGCGATTTTCAGAGCATGCCCGCACTCCGTCTGCTACAATACCAAGCGCTATGCACACCCTTAGACGACGTTTCGCCAATGTAAGAACCACGAGTCGACTGTCATGTTGCACCTCTCGGAACAGCATAACGATGGCTTGATGAGGAGTCCTGTCGGTACATGGAGACGGTCTTCGCCAAGGGTACACGCTGTCAGCAGATGTACTTTGTTGACGGCCGCTTGGCTGCACCTGCACTTCCTGCCGGCTCCTTGCCAGGGAGAGATAAAATGCCCCTCAAGTCAGTGAAGCAAAAGCGATAATAGCCCCCCCCCCCTCAGTTCTTAGTTGAACTAAACAGATTCCTCGTGGCATTGGGTTCTGGGTTCAGGGTTTACGGGTATCAGGTTCATAGAAAGTTGCTGTCAGGAGACCCACGCAAACTGATGGCGACGCCTTCAGCCCATAATTGGGGGACTCGTGGATAGTGGTAAACCCTGCAAGCCCTAAACCCCAGATGTTATGACTAGCACGCTCAAACCTATGACTAGGACTGGGTCTCAAGCTTTCTTTGTATCTCTCTTCATGTCGTGCGGGACGGGGCACTTGAACCCCTGACCATGTGCCGACCCCTTATGTTTGTCGCAGCATTCTAAGCCCTGAAACCCTGAAGCCCCAAACTGCCCTAAACCCTATGAAGCCCTCAACCCGAAGCCCTGAACCCTGAAAACCCTAAAGCCCCTAAACACCCTAAAGCCCCTACTAACCCTAAAGCCCCCTAAAAACCCCTAAAGCCCCAAAAAAGCTCAAAAAAGCCCCCCTGAAGAGGTCCGCGGCTGCTGTACAGCAAAGACACCGGACTGAAGAGTTGGCTCGCGATCTGTGGTGTGGACTTCGAGAAGCGGCTCGGCTCTGTAAAGCCCCCATAAGTATTTCCTTTGGTTTTTGGGGGGCTTTGGGGGTTTAGGGTTTAGGGCTAGGGTTTAGGGTTTAGGGGTTTTGGGGTTTTGGGGTTTAGGGGTTTAGGGTTTAGGGTTTAGGATTTAGGGGTTTAGGGTTTAAGGGGTTTAGGGTTCAGGGGTTCAGGGATTTAGGGTCTCAGGGTTTTTGGGTTTGAGAGGCAGCAACGAGTCTGGTTGGCAACAGGGTTTAGGGTGAGCCGAACCCCGAACTTCACATTTGCCACATCTGCACGAGAGAGCGACAAGAGTAACCTATCTATCTATCTATCTATCTATACGCAAATTTATATATATATATATATACATATACAGATAGATATATATATATACACATATGTATATATATATATATATATATATATATATATGTGTGTGTGTGTGTGTGTGTGTGTATATGTGTGTGTGTATGAAGGGGACAGTACACCCGAGAACTAAGTAATTAAGGCTACTTTGTCAACCCCCGACATGGCTCAAGCCGTGAGCCTGCCTTGTTTAGCCTCAAGTTTCCAACTGTTCCAACCCCGCACTGCCGCATGTTTATGGTAGCAGATGCGCGTGCAGCCGCCACGTCGTGGCCGCAGGCAGCAGCGGCAGCGGAGCTGCCATGTGCTGCCATGAACTTTCCAGGAGCAGGGGTCTCGGTGGAAGTCAGTGCTTTGCCTGGAGGCATCCTACCTCCTCCTGGCCTGTCGCTGAATGAATCCGGTTTCGCATCCGCTTTCGATCCAGTGCCAGGGAGCACCAGCGACGAATCGGTGGAGTGTCACTTCTGCCGATGCCACCACACGGGCCGTGTGAAGCCAGACAAAAAGCAGCGTGCCGCCATGCAGTCGATATCTGAGAAAGAAGTTCTCGAACTGCTTTTGACTCAACTTTCGATGCGTGCACTTTCTGGCAAATGTTTCGATGCCCTTTTCCCTTTCCTGCAGAAGATCCACCGTCGTCTGGCAGAGTCTTCACCAGAGTCAAGCTTGTCCGGTGCCTTGCAGCGCAACTTGCAGAAGTCGGTGTCGAGGATGAGCTGCCAGCAGATGATCCGCTTCGTGGAGTGCAGCCCGAGCTCAGACCCCCACCTTATGCGGCAGTTGAAGGAGCAGCTGAAGGGTAGCCAGAGAACCTCACCTCGTAACTTCACGGCCTCCTCCGTCTGGTTGTAATAGGCCTCCGTGAGCCTGAGGACCACCTGTAGAGACTGTATAGAGATAAGTTGAGACATGATACGAAGAGTTACAAAGCTGTTGAGCAGACGGAGAGCACGTGAGCACGCCCAAGGTGTCGAGCATGGAAGGCAAACGGGGGCTAAGCCCTCCGGCCCTTAGACTTGTCGCAGGATCCTTGAAGGGAGCCCTCCGAGGCTGGCCAACGGCCAGGGCTGGCAGGTTTGCACATGTTTGCACAAATTTTGCTGCGTTGCAGCTGTGTATTTTGTTGCCGCCAAGCGAGCTACATGAAGAACATGGGTATAGAGCCGTGACTACTGCAGACTAGGTTTAAGGGTGGGTTTCAACATGTTTCAAGAATGAGTTCGAGGCGTCTAGCACTGACAGGCAGTTTCAGACTCTGAGCCAGTCGCAGCATCGGGCTGCAGAGTGGCTCCGAGTTGAAGCGGCGCTCGACGCATTACTTTGTCGACGCCCGCAACGGTCCATGACCGTCAAGTATTCTAATAGTGAACGTCCCTTCAGACAATTCTGACAGTCATTCTAATGCTGCCTCTTGTGCACAAAAGAAGTTCGTCCCTGCAGAGTGACACGGAAGATCGTCAGCCAGGCGGGTGGCAGGAAGCAAATCTCAGTTCAGGGAAAGATTCTAGCGTTTAGGGCAATCTGGCTTAAGGTGAGCCCAACCCCGAAATTCACATTTGCCACATTTGCACAAGAGAGCGACAAGAGTAACCTATAAAATGCTACTTTT